GCTTAGAGAGGGTTGAAAGCCCTATGAAGCGGTATATAAGTCTAACTGCTATTGCTATTGCTATCCATGTTTCCTATATTTTAACCCATGCTTAGTTATCCTCCTATATAAATTCATTAAATTTGAATTTGAATTTAATGCTATTGCTATTTTCCTTTCTTCCTCCTTCTTTCCCTTCCTTTTCCACAGTGGTTAGAATGCAGCATTGCTCACTGCCAGTAGTTCGAATCCCACCAGGCTCAAGGTTGACTCAACCTTCCAATCCTTTGAAAGTCAGTAAAATGAAGACCCAAATTGTTGGGGGGTGGGGCAATAGGCTGCCTCTGTAAACCACTTAGAGAGGGCTGTAAAAGCACTCTGAAGGGGTATATAAGTCTAAGGCAGTGTTGGGTTTCAAAAATTTTTGGAACCTCTTCTGCCTGCTTTCCGGGTCCACTGGTGGAAGCTCTTCTAACCGGTTTGGTAGATTTTAACGAACCGGTTCTACCGAACTGGTGCGAACTGGTAGGAACCCACCTCTGGTCTAAGGGCTATTGCTGTTGCTAAAACCCTGGTAATATTTTTTAATTAAAAAAAGAGCTTAGCAACGGGGATTCCGGTAGGTGGTCGTAAGTCGAGGACTCCCTCTTTGCATGCGAATATAGGTGAGAAAAAACGATGCAGGGAAAGTCTGCTCTCCCTTCTCACGCTGGAGGCCCCCCCGCAGGGCCAGTGGCCTTACCGAGAGTTGCCAAGACGTGGCGGAGTTCGGCTCCCATCACGGTTCCGTTTCCTTCTTTGTCGAAGACACGCAGTCCTTCCACGAAGTCCTCGAAGGTCCCCGTGTCTTTGGTCTTGGCGATGTGCTGGAGCATGGGCAGGAACGTGTCGAAGTCCAACATCTTGCTGTTCATTTCTACCCGAAAGAGGAGGAAAAAAATGTGTTTCACCCACACGGCTCACCACCACGCCGGAAAGCAAACTCTTAGCGGAATAATGGCAGAGATTGGAAGGGACCTCGGAGGTCCTCTAGTCCAACCCCCTGCTCAAACAGGAGACCCTGGACTATCTTGGACACAAGAGCTGTCCGGTCTCTTATTGGTAACCTCCAGGGATGGAGGCAAGCCATCACAGTCGTTAAGCAAGTGCTGCAGTCATTTAAGCCATTGCTACAGTCGTTAAGCGAATACTGCCATTGTTAAGCAAATGCTGCAGTCATTAAACAGGTACTGCAGTTGTTAAGTGAATGCTGAAGTCATTAAGTGATTGCTACAGTCGTTAAGCAAACACGGCAATCATTTAGCAAACACTGCAGTTGTTAAACAAATTCTGCAGTCGTTAAGCGAACACTGCAGTAATTAAACACACTGCAGCTGTTAAAGGAACATGCAGTAATTAAACAAACACCACAGTCATTAAGTGAACACTGCAGCTGTTAAGCAAACACTGCCATTGTTAAGCAAATACTGCAGTCATTAAACAAACACCGCAGTTACTGCTGCAGTAACTAAGTGATTGCTACAGTTGTTAAGCAACACTGCAGTTCTTAAACAAGCACTGCAGTCGTTAAGCGAATGCTGCAGTCTTTAAGTGAACACTGCAGTAATTAAACACACCAGTCATTAAGGGAACACTGCAATCATTAAGGGAACACTGCAATCATTAAACACCACAGTTGTTAAATGAGCACTGCAGTTGTTAAGCGAACACTGCTATTGTTAAGCAAATACTGCAGTTATTAAACAAACCCTGCAGTCATTAAGCGAATGCTGCAGTCGTTAAATGAACACTGGAGTTATGAAACAAACACTGCAGTTGTTAAGCAATAAACCCTCCCAAAAGCTGCCATTTGCCAATCGTTCCACCCCATGGAGAAGGGACCCACTGACCATCTGGTTTTGGCCGTCCAAGGACTTTATGGACTTCTGCCTGGGTGGGATTCTGGCCGCAGGACCTCAGGACATCCCCGCATTGAGCGTAAGTGATTTTCAGTTCACCCTTTTGAGTCCGGTCGAAGAGTTCAAAAACCTCCTTGAATTCTGAAGAGGGCAAGAAAAACAAACAGAACCAGAAGTTCAAAAATTTTAATTTCACCACTGACTTAAATATATGAAGAATGGAGGCTAGAACATATGAAGAACGGTCGCAAGAATTTGGGGTGTCTAGTTTAATGAAAAGAACAGCTTTTCGGTTCTGGTCGCCACCATGTAGAAAAGATGCGGAGACTCTGGAAAGAGTGCAGAGAAGAGCAAGAAAGAGGATTAGGGGACTGGAGGCTAAAACATAGGAAGAACGGTTGCAGGAACTGGGGATGTCTAGTTTAATGAAAAGAAGGACCAGGGGAGACAGGATAGCAGTCTTCCAATATCTCAGGGGTTGCCCCAAAGAAGAGGGAGTCAAGCTATTCTCCAAGGCACCTGAGGGCAGAACAAGAAGCAATGGGTGGAAACTAATCAAGGAGAGAAGCAACTTAGAACTAAGGAGGAATTTCCTAACAGTGAGAACAATTAACCAATGGAACAGAAGTTGCCTCCAGAAGTTGTGAATGCCCCAACACTGGAGATTTTTAAAGAAGAGATTGGACAGCATGTGTATTTCCTCCTGTGTAGGGTAGTGGGTTGGACTAGAAGACCTCCGAGGTCTTTTTACTTCCAACTCTGTTATTCTTAGTCCTTGAGTTATGACTAGGGCTCAAAATTTCTGCTGGGGCAGCCGTCTACATGAATTTTGCCCTATTTCATGACGCGGAGATGCTGAAGCCGTCGTAAATGTGAAAAACGGCCATAAGCCACTTTTTTCCAGCGCTGTTGTCATTTTGAACGGTTGCAAATTGAGGACTTCCCGTACTTCGTTTTGTTCGTTGGCGTTTTCCTCTCCTGGGGAGATGGCGATTAATAAATAGGAAATATAAATGAGTAAGTAAATAAGAGGGGTTGTTATATACATATTCCCAATGTGCTTTGAACTGTTTTTATTCCGCTGAATTTTCTCATCTGATTTTGCTTTTCGGAAGTTTGAAAAACTTCGCTGTTGGTCTCGTTATCAGCTTTATTTTCATTCCAGCTCATTTCGATGTCTCCCACGGGGACGGTTATGATTGAAAGAAAGAAAAAGAAAAATGACAGATCACCCAGTTTACGATTATAATATTTGTCCAACCCAAGAATGTGGGACTTGAAAAGGGGGGGAAAAAACAAACCATCTTCCTAATTAGATTAAAGCAGGGTCACGAACTTCTGCAAATCTCAGATACAGAAAAACTTCAAATTTGGGGTATTTAAGCACTGCATTTAAGGGTGGCTCGGTGGCTAAGGCTGAGCTTGTAAATCAGAAGGTCAGCAGCTCAGCGGTTCGAATCCCTAGTGAGGCATAACGGAGTGAGCTCCCGTGACTTGTCCCAGCTTCTGCCAACCTAGCAGTTTGAAAGCATGTAAAAAATGCAGGTAGAAAAATAGGAACCACCTTTGGTGGGAAGGGAACAACGCTTGATGCACCGGCCACATGACCATGGAGACGTCTTCGGACAGTGCTGGCTCTTCAGCTTTGATACGGAAATGAGCACCACCCCCTAGAGTCGGGAATAACTAGCATGTATATGCAAGCGGAACCTTTACCTAAGCATTGCAAAGTTCAAGAGCATTTTAAAAGTCTTAAATCCCCCCAATTCTCATTGAGAATTAGATGACTCATGAGTTCTTGAGTTTTGCCCCGTTTTGTGAACCTGTCTTGCCACGGTTGTTAAATGAATCACTGCAGTTGTTAAGTTAGCAAACGACACGGTTGTTAAGTGAATCTGGTTTGCCTGTTGACTTTATTCGTCCAAAAGTCGCAAAACGGGGTTCATGTGACCCCCAGGACACTGCAACCGTCATAAGTACAAGTCAGTTGCCCAGCATCCCGAATTTTGATCAGATGGGGAGGGCTGCAGCGGTCGTAAGGGTGAAAAATGGTCATAAGTCCCCTGTTTTCAGCGCCGTTGGAACTTTAAACGGTCGCTAAATGAACGGTCGTAAGTCGGGGGTTAATTGCACGTATAATTGTCAGCCCAGATGCTTCCAGCGGGCTGATTTCCTTCATTCGTTTTCAATCCGTTAATCGCTTTGCTCTAGTTTTTGACATTTACATGCCCAACAGAATTCTCAGCTGGTGACGGGACTTGAGCTGCACTAAATAAAATTACAAAACGGTTTTGTCCCAGGTATCTGGCAACCACAGAAGCCGAGGCTTCAAAGGCCCCCCGCCTGAGTCTTTGTGGATAAGTCGCCCTAGAGCCACATTTCAAATATCATGGCATTCAGAAGCTGTAGAAAAATAAACCAGGCGACTTTGATAATTAGATGAAGGGCATGGCACAGTGGACATTGGTTATCCAGCTATGAGAGAGAAAGAAGGAAAGAAAGAGGGGGGAGGGAGGGAGGGAGGGAGGGCAAAGAAGAAGAAGAAGAAGAAGAAGAAGAAGAAGAAGAAGAAGAAGAAGAAGAAGAAGAAGAAGAAGAAGAAGAAGAAGAGAGTGAGAAAGAGAAAGAAAGAGAGAGAAGGAAAGAAAGTGATTATAGATGGATGGGTGGGTAGGTGGATGGATGGATGGATGGATGGATGGATGAAGGAAGGAATGAAGGGAAGAAAGAAGGAGGGAAGGAAGAGAGGGAGGGAAGGAAGAATAGAAGGAAGGAAAGACTGGTGGAAGGAAGGAAGGAAAGAGAGGGAGAGAAGCAAGGAAGGAAGAGGGGGAGGGAGGGAAGGAAGGAAAAAAGGAAGGAAGGATGGAAGGAAGGAGATGGTAGAAGGAAGGAAAGGAAAGGAAGGAGAGAAGGAAAGGAGGAAAGAAAGAGGCAGGGAGGGAAGAAGGGAAAGAAAAAAGTAAGGAAAGAAAAAAGGAAGGAAAGAAAGAGAGAAAGAGGGAAGGAAGAGAGGGAAGGAAGGAAGAATAGAAGGAAGGAAAGAATGGTGGAAGGAAGGAAGGAAGGAAGGAGAGGGAGAGAAGCAAGGAAGGAAGAGGGGGAGGGAGGGAAGGAAGGAAAAAAGGAAGGAAGGATGGAAGGAAGGAGATGGGTAGAAGGAAGGAAAGGAAGGAGAGAAGGAAAGGAGGAAAGAAAGAAAGAGGCAGGGAGGGAAGGAGGGAAAGAAAGAAGGAAGGAAAGAAAAAAGGAAGGAAAGAAAGAGAGAAAGAAAGAAAGAAGGGGAAGGGAGGGAGGCTGGAGTTAGGAAGAAAGAAAGAGAGAAGGATAGGGAAGGGATGGGATGGGGGGAAAGGAAGGAAGGAAGGGACTTGCAACGGCAGCGATTCATTTAACAACTCATGCAAGGTCACAAAATGGGGCATAACTCAATTAACAACTGGAAATTTTGGGGTGCATCGTGTTGAGTGCTGATTGTAGGGTCTCCTGCTTGAGCTGGGGGCTGGGCCAGAAGTCCTCCAAGCTCTGTTATTCTCTTTTGCGACCAAACAACTTTTTTCAGGCAAGCAAAAATAAAAAAAGAGAGAAAACTCAGAATGGTCCCTTCTGCTATTGTTCATCTCAGCATATTGATTTGCTCTCTGTCCTGCTCATCCGGAGATCAATTCACTCCCAGCTTCTCTGCTTGCCTCAATTTCCAATACTGCCAAGCGGGCCATGGCTGCTGCTGATGGATTTTGGGGTGGGGGGCTCTTGAAACAGTTAGGAGAAGCTGGGCGCATTTGACGAGAGGAAGTCCAGCTGCAGAAGGGTCAAAATAAGGGGGTCTTCGAGGGAAGTCGAAAAGGAGTTTGCAGTATGGAAAACGATGAAGCACCGTTGATAGCTCAGGACATTCCCAGCAGGCATAAATCCTTAATCCTGGGAGCTTTATGATGGGTGGGATTCAAACTTTTTTTTACTACAGGTTCTGCGGGCGTGGCTCGGTGGGCGTGGCAGGGGAAGGATACTGCAAAATCCCCATTCCCTCCAGATCAGCTGGGACTCGCGGAAAATAGATGGGGGCGGGGCCAGTCAGAGGTGGTATTTACCGCTTCTCCAAACTACTCAAAATTTCCGCTACCGGTTCTCCAAAACTGGCCAGAACATGTCGAATACCACCTCTGGGTGGACTTCAACTCCCATAATCCCCTAGCCGGCAGGCTTTAAGAGGGGTGGAGCAACTCCAGAATTCCCCGGCCAGCATGATTTAAAGGGAGTGGACTTAAAGTCCTAGAATTTGCCTTCATTGAGTAACATGGAGTTAAAATCGAATCGAGTAGCACAGAATAGAATAGAATAGAATAGCACAGAATAGAATAGAACAGAACAGAATAGAATAGAACGGAATAGAACAGAATAGAATAACTTAATAGTGAATGGAGTAGAGAATATACAGAACAGAACAGAAGATGAGAGTTGGAAGGGGCCTTGGAGGTCTTCTAGTCCAACCCCTTGCCTAGGCTGGAAACCTTATACCATTTCAGACAAACAGTTATCCAATCTCTTCTTTAAAACTTCCAGTGTTGGGGCATTCACAACTTCTGGAGGCAACTTCTGTTCCACTGATTAATTGTTCTCACTGTCGGGAAATTTCTCCTCAGTTCTAAGTTGCTTCTCTCCTTGATTAGTTTCCACCCATTGCTTCATGTTCTGCCCTCAGGGGCCTTGGAGAATAGCTTGACTCCCTCTTCTTTGGGGCAGCCCCTGAGAGATTGGAAGACTGCTATCATGTCTCCCCTCAGTCCTTCTTTTCATTAAATATTAGACATACCCAGTTCCTGCAACTATTCTTGATATGTTTTAGCCTCCAGTCCCCTAATCCTCTTTGTTGGTCTTCTCTGCACTGTTTCCAGAGTCTCCACATCTTTTCTACATCATGGTGACCAAAACTGGATGCAGGATTCCCCAAATGCGGCTGCAAGTGATTGAATCTGTGACCCCAGAGATGAAGTGACTGTCATAAGTATGAGAACTGGTCATAAGTCCCCTTTTTCAGTGCCATTGTAACTTCGGTCATTAAATGAGTCGTCATAAGTTGAGGGTTACCTGTATTAAGGCCTATGTTTTGATAAACTCCCTTTTTCAATTTTTTTTTTCAGTTCAGGTTCCCCCCCCCCCCACAGTTTTCTGTTTCTTTTGTGAAGGATGCTCATGTCAAGAGCCCTCTTGGGGCTGAGCTACAGGAAGTAATTAGCAAATTAATTAATTAGGAAAACCTCTTAATTACAGGTGGGAAAAAAAAACCAGCCTCTTACCTTCAATTTGATCATGAGTGAATTCCACCTGAAAGAGAAAGGGAGAAAAAGAGGATTATTCACACTTCCAATCAAATGGGAAACCCGGATGCAGGGAAATTTCATGACAAGGTGCAGGGAGTCCTCACCTTATAACCATTTGTTTAGTGACCATCCGAACCATTGTGGCAACAAAGGTCATAAAAATGGGGCAAAACTGACTTAAAAACCATCTAGCTTAGCAATGGAAACTTTGTCTTCCAGTCTGGTCATACACGAAGGACTTCGTGGGTGCATTTTAACAGTGGTGTATTATACACAGGTCGTCCTCAACTTACGACCCTCCACTAAGCCCTAAATTTTCATTTGTAAGCCACAAATTTGTTCACTGAATTTCCCCACATTTTACGACCTTTCTTGCCACGGTCGTTAAGTGAATCATTGCAGCTGTTAAGTTAGCCACACAGTGATTAAGTGAATCCATCTCCCCCGTTGATTTCGCTTGTCAGGCGGTCGGAAAAGAGGGTCATGTGATCCCCCTTGGGACCCTGCAGCCGTCATAAATATGAGTCAGTTGCCAAGCATCTGAATTTTGATCCGGTGCCCATGGGGGATGTGGCAAAAGTATGGAAAACAGTCCTGAGTCCCTTTTGTTCAATGCCGTCACAACTGAAGGAATGATTGTAAGTCGAAATTACCAGAATGTATTTATTTGTTTACGAAATTATTCTCAATGTTTGCGAGCCTGGTGCTCTTAAATTCTACCTTTCTATTGATTTTATGGCCTTTGATGTTAAATGTCTTTAAAAGACCATTGGATATGACATGAATGGCCAATAGATTTCATTAATAAATCAAGAAAGAAGAAAGAAAGAAAGAAAGAAAGAAAGAAAGAAGGAAGGAAGGAAGGAAGGAAGGAAGGAAGGAAGGAAGGAAAAGAGAAAGAGAGAAATAGGGAGAAAGGGAGAAAGAAAGAGAGCGTGGGAAAGGAAGAGCAATGAAGAGAAAGAAAAAGAGAAAGAGAAAGAAAGAGAAAGAAAAAGAGAATGAGAAAGAAAATGAGAAAGAAAGAGAAAGAGAGAAAGAGAGAGAGAGAAAGAGAAAGGAAGGAGAAAGAGAGAGAAGGAAAGAGAGACAAAGACAAAGAAAGAGAGTTAGAGAAAGAAAGAGAGAGAAAGAAAGAGAGAGAAAAGGAAAGAGAGAGAAAGAGAAAGAAAGAAGAAAGAAAGAAAGAAAGAAAGAAGGAAGGAAGGAAAGAAGGAAGGAAAAGAGAAAGAGAGAAATAGGGAGAAAGGGAGAAAGAAAGAGAGCATGAAGGAAAGGAAGAGCGATGAAGAGAAAGAAAAAGAGAAAGAGAAAGAAAGAGAAAGAGAATGAGAAAGAGAAAGAGAAAGAAAGGAGAAAGAGAGAGAAGGAAAGAGAGACAGAGAAAGAAAGAGAGTTAGAGAAAGAAAGAGAGAGAAAAGGAAAGAGAGAGAGAAAGAGAAAGAAAGAAAGAAAGAAAGAAAGAAAGAAAGAAAGAAAGAAAGAAAGAAAGAAAGAAAGAAAGAAAAATTTCAATTTGGTGCAAATCTTTGCTCTATATGAGGATCCTCTCTGTTGTAAGAAGAATTAAATTCCCCTCCCTGTTTCTACGGCTTGGAAAACTTTATTAAAGAGCAGGAAAGGAAAATTATAGGGAGTCCTCAACTTCTAAAAGCTCATTTAGTCACCGTTGAAAGTTACCACGGTACTGACTTCTTACAACCATTTTTCACACTTACGACCATTGCAGCATCCTCAGGGTCAAAAGGCCAGAATTCAGATGTTTGGCAACTGACTCGTAGTTATGACTGTCGCAGCATCCCAGACAAGTCACGTGATGCTGACTCTGTAAACCGCTTAGAGAGGCCTATGAAGCGGTATATAAGTCTAACTGCTATTGCTATATTGCTATTGCTATCCCCTTTCGCGACCTTCCAACAAGCAAAATCAATGGGGGAAGCCAGATTCACTTAACAACCGTGTGACTAATTTAACAGCAGCAGTGATTCATTTAACAACGGTGACAATATAGGCTGTAAAGTAGGGCAAAACTCACTTAACTGTCTAACTTAGCAGCAGAAATATGGGGCTGTAACTCGAGGATTACTGTGCTCAGAAATGTCAACCCTTAGACAAACCGGCTGGGTTATTTTGCTTAATGAAAGCTCAAAAATCTTTTTCTGACCCCTCCCGAGCAGATGTCTATCTCTGCTTCCTCTTCGCTTCTTCTCCGCAGAAACACAACTCCAACTTAGCTTTGTGTCCTTGTGTTTTTTCAGTAACAATGTTGGCTAAGTTCCTTTTCTGTCTCAAAAAAGGATTTGCTCCCCCCCGCCCACCCCATTAAGCATTTTTTAAATTTATATGCCTGGAGTCAAGAATGGGCCATCTGCCCTGATTTAAAATTAGCCCTTGCCTTAAGCTCAGGTTGCCCCTTACCCTGTTCAGGAGGGAGGGAGGGAGGGAGAGAGAGAGAGAGAGAGAGAGAGGGAGAAAAAGAGAGAAAGGGAGAGAAAGGGAGAGAAAGAGAGAGGAGGAGGAATAGAAAAAAGGAAAAATAGGGAGAAGGGGGAAGGGGGAAAGAGAGAGAAAAAGAGAGAGAGGGAGAAAGAATGAGAGAAATAGAGAAAAAAGAGGAAGAATGAGAGTGAAAGTAAGAGAGAACAGGAGAGATAGAAAGAAAGGAAGAAAAAGAGAGAGAAAGGGAAAGAAAGAGAAAGAGAGAGACGGAGGAAGAAAAAAAGGAAAAATAGGGAGAGGGGGAAAGAGAGAAAAAGGAGAGAAAGAGAGAAAGAAAGAATGAGAGAAGTAGAGAAAAAAGAGAAAGAATGAGAGAAGTAGAGAAAAAAGAGAAAGAATGAGAGTGAAAGTGAGAGAGAAAATGAGAGATAGAAAGAAAGGGAGAAAAAGAGAGAAAGAGAGAAAGAGAAAGACGGAGGAAGAGAAAAAAGGAAAAATGGGGGGAGGGGAAAAGAGAGAAAAAGCAGAGAAAGAGAGAAAGAAAGAATGAGAGAAGTGGAGAAAAAAGAGAAAGCGAGAGAAAGGGAGAAAAAAAGTGAGAAGGAAAGGGAGAAAGAGAAGTAGAGAAAAAAAGAAAGAATGGGAGAAAGAGAAAAAGAGAGAGAGAAAAAGAGAAAATGAGAAAGAGAAAGAATGAGAGTGTGTGAGAGAGAGAGGAAGAAAGGAACAAAGAGGGAGAGAAATAGAGAGAATTGAAGTCCATCCATCTTCTCACATAATGGCTGGGAAATTTGGGAGTTGAACTCCGATCTCTTCAAGTTGTCTCACTGATTTAAACGACTCCTCCAAACTTAATTGCTTTGCAAATTAGCCTGTCCAATCATTGCTTTTTCCAATTTTTCTTTCCTTTTCAAAGAAGTTGAGCCTCCAAAGCCTCCCTCAGCTACGGAGCTATCATCAAAATCTCTCTGAATTAACTGCTGCGAAAGAGAATGGAAGATGAGGCCAACTCCATTAGTCACGCCTTAAAACAGGATAAAATTAAATTACCCAGGAATTGTCTCCATCTTTTCTGCCTTGTGAGGTTTTTCCAGGAATCAACACTCAATAAAGAAATCCCTCCGACATAACAAGGAGACTGTCATGAAAACTCGCACGGCTGGGAGAAAAACAGAATTTTGATCTGGGCAGTGTCTCCTTTTAAGCTAATTTCTTCTCGTTTTTGACTCCAGGCATGTAAATTTTCCCTAAATCTGGACTGGTTGCAGTGCCTTTCACAAGTTGGGGTCCACTGCAAGTAAGTCAGATTCAGCAAAATAAATATAGCTAGTCCTCAACTTATGATCGTTCGTTTACTGACGGTCCAAAGTTATACTTGGCATAACTTGACTCATATTTACGACGGTGGGAGCGTCCCCCTGGATGTGTGTGTGTCACAAGATCCCTTTTTGGGACCTTCTGACAAGCAGAGCCCATGGGAAGGACAGATCCACGTGACTAACTTAACAACCGCAGTGATTCACTTAACGACCGTAGCAAGAAAGGTCATAAAATGGGTCAAGACTCCCTTAACAACTGACTCGCTTAGCAACAGAAATTTTGGTGTGGTTTTAAATCTAGGACTATCTCCTGAACCAATGACAGACGCTTATTTACATTACATTTCAAATATTTGAGAAATCTCACAGAGTCCAGCCAGGGAGAACCGAATACCTCTTTATCGTCTAGGAGAAATCTACCTGGACTATATATTTTTTTCCCACGTGGAAATTAAATTAATGAGTTGGAAAAGTTATGAAAAGTTCTTTTTTTTTTTTTTTTTTTTTGGCGCACCAGAGAAATGAGGTCATTTATTGCACGGAGATCGAAGGGCGCATTAAATAAAAAATACGAATTATTTTATGACATTATGCACTCAGGTTTTAATTAGACCTACAAATTCAATAAAAGGGAAACCAGATTGATGTTTGCAAGGCAGGCTGTTGTCTTCCCAAAGAGCTGATAGCAGCTAATTTTTGCTTTAAATGGAGCAATAATTACAGAACATGTTGCATGATTATTCCAACCGAATGAGTATATCCACGCTCTGCCATCCCCAACTTATTCGGTGGATTCTTTTTTGTTTTTTGTTTTTTTTTTGTTTCTAGGTGCCAGCAAAATTTCTACACAATGGCAATCACACAACAAGGAGAGGTTTCCAGGGAGGTGAAGTAGGAGGCAAGTCAGAAAAAGTTTTAAAAAGAAAAAAGTTAGACTAGACTTGATTCATTGTTTTGTCCCCGTGTGAGGTTTTTGTGGTGGCTTTTCGAGTTTGGGGTAAGTGGGGGATTTAGAGACCAGGTGGCGTGAATTCTAGTTCTGCCTTAAGCACGATTGCTTTGTGGCCTTTAGATACAAACCTTCACATTCGTCTGAGGGACACACAATGGAAAACCCCAGCAATTATTTTCCACTGTGGTTGATAGATAATTGGGAGATTCCTTCCTTCCTTACTTCCTTCCTTCCTTCCTTCCTTCTTTCATTTTCCCTTTTTCTTCTCCTCCTTCCCCTTCAGTTCCTTCTCCTTTCCTTTTCTATCTTCTCCTTCCCGTCTTTTCTTTTCCCTTCTCCTTCTCTTCTCCTTCTCTTCCTTCTCTTGTTCCTCCTCCTCATTATCTTTTTCTTCTCTTTCTCCTTTGTCCTTGTCTGTTCTTCTTCTTCTCATTTTTTCATTCTTCTTCCGCCTCCTTGTCTGTTCTTCTCCTTCTCATCTCCTCCTTCTCCTTATTCATCTCCTCTTTCTCGTCTTTTCTTTTTCCTTCCCCTTCTCTCCTCCTTCTCCTCCTTCTCTTGTTCCTCCTCATCTTTTCCTTCTCCTTCTTCCTCCTCCTTGTCTATGTTCTTCTCCTCATCTTCTCCTTCTCTAGCTTCTTTTTCCTCCTCCACATGTTTCCTCCTCTTTCTCATCTTTTCATTCTTCCTCCTCCTTCTTCTCTGTTCTTCTCATCTTCTCCTCCTCCTTATCCATCTCCTCCTTCTCAATTTTCTTCTCCTTGTCTATCTTCTCCTTCCTCCTCCTCCTCCTTTTCATTCTCATTTTCTCCTCTTCCTTATCTATCTCGTCCTCCTCCCCCTCCCCCTTCCTCCCCTTCCTCACTAAAGCAACTCCCCCCCCACCCTTTTTATCAAGACAAAGAGGGAGACAGCTGCAGTAGGGAAACCAGAGACGGGAATCAGTGATGGAGAAAATGCGCCGATGGCTCTCTTAATAAACCATGGTTCTATTTTGGACAAAGGTCAAGGTAAGCCAAGAGGCATCAGGTAATCTGGAAGACAATGCCGTCCCTCCCTCCCAGCAGTTGTCAGCTGTTAAGAGTTTGTGCCAAATAGCTACCATTACCCCCCCCCCCCGCCCTCCGCAGACTGGCTGCCAGGGAGTCAAAAAAGTCAGAATGGTGGCCCCAACAGACGGGGGGGGGGGCTCAATTATGGAATTGTGGCCTCATTTCCTGCAAATATTCTGCTTTCTTTGCTCTGGTTGGTTTGGGGGGGAAAAAAAAGAGAGAAACAAGAAAGAAATTGCGATCATCTCCATCATCTTTAATGTTTTCCTCCTTCCAGGCGGAATAAATGTGATCGATGAAAAGACATTGAGATTTAAATAATATATGTACCTTGTATTTTACACTGTCCTCATTTCATCCCCTTAACACCCCTGCAAGGTAGGCTGGGCTGTGTCACCCAATCAGATACCAGAAAGAATAAGGAGGCGGAGCAAAATCTTCCTCATTTTTTAAAGCTCAGGGCTTTAACCGCTACGCCGAATTGTCTGTCTGTCTGTCTCTCTCTCTCTCTCTCTTTCTCTCTCTTTCTCGGAGGGGTTGAGAAAGCCAGAAAGGGTAAAGGGGCTGGCTAAGAAGGAAGGAGATCTGGATTCAAATCCTGGTGCCGAGATGCGGAATTCGTAATGAACTCACTGCTCTTTCTGCTCAAAGAATACTTAAGGGGGAATACAGGCAGTCTCCCACTTACCATCACAACGGACACCAACATTTCTGGTAGAGATGATAGAGACAGATGGGGCGGGGGAGGATAGAAAGAGGTGAAAAAGAGACAGAGGAATGATGGAGGGAGAGAGAGAGATAACAGAGAGGGATGATAGAGGCAGAGAGAGACAGGGAAAATACAAAGAGAAATACAGAGATGGTAATTATAATAATGAAGAGGTAGGTAGGTAGATAGAGATAGATAGATAGATAGATAGATAGATAGATAGATAGATAGATAGATAGATAGATAGATAGATAGATAGGACATAGATAGGCTAGAGTATAGAGGATGGATAGAGAGACAGACAGACAGAAGTGATAGAGATAAAGAGAGAGAGATGATTTTTCTCTCTCCCTTTCTCTCTATCATTTCTGTCTGTCTGTCTCTCTATCCATCCTCTATACTCCATCCTATCTATCTATGTCCTGTCTATCTCTTTCTATCTATCCACACACACACACAGAGTATCTCTGTGTGTGCATATACAATACATAGACGTGTATTTGTGTATGTATTGTATATGCATACGTGTGTGTGTGTGTGTATTGAGGGATAGACAGAGAAGATAGATAGAGGTAGATAGAGAGACGAAGAGAGAAATATAGAGTGATGGCAGAAAGACAGACGGACAGACAGACGGACGGACGGATGGCCATTGACAGTGGTTGCTCTGTCACTCCTGGCAAAACCAAAGCTGCCCAGAAAAAACTCTCAGCAGAGGTGAAACTGTGCCGGAAGATGCTCTGCCAATCAGCCGTGGCTCTTAGCAAAGCATCTTAAGTAAAGCCGGATATTCTCCCTCCGAGATCATCCATCCCAACCCACTGCTGCCTGCCGGCCAGACCTCCTGAGCTGAAGTGCACCGGAGGAGGCAGAGACCCCCATTGCCCCTCCATCCATCCATCCATCCATCCATCCATCCATCCATCCATCCATCCATCCGTCCGTCCCTTAAAAACCAAGCCCCCCCTCCCCCTTTCCTGTACCCAAGTTAACCAGATTCCCTGATTTCTTCCTTTCTTTTTTCAAAAAAAGGCCCCTTACTTTGATGCTGGCTGGATTAAACTCCACTTCCTTGCGCTCCGGCTCTGGTGGGGGAGCCGGTTTCGGGGCAGCCTTGGGTTCCTCCTTTTTGGGTTCGGGTTTTTTCGGCTCGGGTTTTTTGGGGGGCATCGTGCCGGTCGACCGGAGGGGGGGAAAAGGGGCTATAGGCAGGCAAAGCTGGTCACCTCGAGGGGCAGAAGGCAGAGCAGCTGAGAGTCCCCTGGAGGGGGTCTTTATTCTCCTCCCGGCCCCTGAATGTCACGGCTGGTGTCAATTGGCCTCCAGCCCCTGCCCGAAGCCCCCCCCCCACACACTCCCCAAGAGCATCGCACATACCAGGTCGCACAATAGCAACCTGCCTATAAAAGGCAAAGGCTATTTCTGATAAGGACACCCAATTCGGTCTGGGAAGACAATGCATGCGGAGGAAGAGAGAGGAGGGGGAGGACTGGAGGTTGGAGACCCCCATGCCTTCAGCAGTGGGGCTGGGAGACCCCTGTGCCCCAAGGCTGTGGAGTAACCACAGCCACTCCCTTTCCCCTTCAGTTCCGTTGAACTAAAGGGAATGGTTGTAAGTCAAGGACCATCTATACGTCTGGGTATTTTTATTTCAAGCATTTATAGGTAGTCCTTGGCTTACAACGGAACCCAAAAACTCTACTGTCCCTAAGCGGGAATGTTGTTGAGTGAATTTTGCCGGGTTTTACAAACTTCCCAGCAACGCAGTTGTTTACGTTAGTCACACGGTCGCTAAGCGAATGTGGCTTCCCCGTTGCTTGCCGGAAGGTCGCAAAAGGGAATCACGTGACCCTGGGGACACTGCAACCGTCACATAAGCGAGTCAGTCGCCAAGCACCTGAATCTTGATCGCGTGACTGCAGGGATATAGCAAAGGTCGTAAGTGTGAAAAACGGTCACTTTTTCAAGCTGTCACTAACTTCAAACAGTCACTAAATGGGTGGTTGTAAGTCAAGGACTACGTGTAGCAGCTAGCAAAGTCACCCCAGAGATGGAGAATGCAGATATTGTGAAAGCGACTCACAATTAATCAGCAATTGTGGAATTGTGGAAAATGGGCTTTCAATCCAACCGGTGCAGAAAAGAGGATTTTACAGATAGTCCTCGACTTACGACCACAGCTCAGCCCAAAATTTCCATGGCTAAGCGAGACAGTTGTTCAGTTCTCCCCCGACCTTTCTTGCCACAGTTGTTAAGTAAACCACCCGGCCGTTAAGCGAATCTGGCTTCTCCATGAGCTTCGCTCATCAGAAGGTCATAAAAGTGGATCACCTGACACCCACCACCCACCCAGAACACTTCAACGGTCATAAATACGAGACAATTGCCGAGCGCCTGAATTTTGATCGCATGACCACGGGGAAATGCTACGACGGTCGTTGAGTGTGGAAATGGGTCATAAGCCTGTTTTTTCCCACGGCGTTGTAACTTCGAGCTAAATGAACATTGGGGAAGTCGAGGGTTACCAGAATAGGGGAATTTGGGGGTGGGTGGGTGGGTGGGGAAGAGACAAAGAATTGAAACTTGTGGCCCTTTTGATTAAAAAAAAAAACCAACCAAATAAATAAATGCGTAAATTTCGGGTGCCATTGCAGACGGTCACTAAATGGACGGTTGTAAGTCGAGGACTGGCTGGAGTAAGGCTTCTTTCGGGAGCGCAAAGCGTGTAGTTCTCTCTGTGGTCCTCCTCCCCCTCTCACCCCCCTCCTCCTTCCCACTTTCCTGGGAGAAGACGCGTCAGCCGCCAAGGATTGTTCCTCCTTCCCTGGGGAGAGAACAATGGGGTCCTATTTCCAGGCCGTATAACGTTTCAACCATATATAAAAGGGCGGTGTATTTTGGGCTGCGGAGTCCCTGCGCAGATGTGACCTCATAGGACAAATCGGGGGCCTGGGCAGTGGAGCAGGGCTTTAAAAAGGCATCTCGGCAGAGACACACACCTGTTTTAAGTCCTTCGGTGCCCCTGCGGAAAATACCTGCGGAGGCCACCCCCAAAGATTGACAGTCGAGCCTCCATAGCTAGAGGCAGCGAAGATTTGAATTCAAGGCTGCCGAGATATCCCAGAATAGAACAGGAACTTTTTTAAAAAAAGGGAAGGTGGGGGAAGAGAGGGGAGGGGAGGGAAGGAAAAGAAAGGAAAGGAAAGGAAAGCGGGAGGGAGTGATGGAGAAAGGGAGGAAGATAAAGGAAAAGAAAGGAAAAGAAAGGAATGGAGGAGGGGGAAAGGGAAGGACAGAGGGAGGGAAGGGGAGGGGAGGAAAGGAGAGGGGGAGGGAGGGATGGAGAAAAGGAGGAAAAGAAAGGAAAGGAGGAGGGAGGGATGGAGAAAAGGAGGAAGAGAAAGGAAAAGAGGAGGGAGGGGAGATGAAGGGGAGGAAAGAGAAAGGGGAGGGAAGGGAAGGAAAGGAGGAGAGAGGGATGGAGAAAAGGAGGAAAAGAAAGGAAAGGAGGAGGGAGGGATGGAGAAAAGGAGGAAGAGAAAGGAAAGGGGGAGCGAGGGATGGAGAAAGGGAGGAAAGGAAAAGAAAAGAAAGGAAATGAAGGGAAAGAAAGAAAAAAGGGAAGAGAAGAGAAAAAAAGACCATATTATAAAGTTAGTCCTTGACTTATGACCACAATTAAGCCGCAAATTTCTGCTGCTAAGCAAGGCAATTGCTCAGTGAGCTTTGCCCCATTGGACCTATCTTGCCATAGTCGTTAAGCAAATCAGTGCAATTGTCCAAAGCCACACGGTCATTAAGCGAATCCGGCTTCCCTGTTGACTTTGCTTGCCAGAAGGCCGCAAAAGGGGATCACGTGATGCCACCCCCCACCCCCAGGGCAGCGCGCAACCGTCAAAAGTACGAGTCACTTGCCAAGCGTCTGAATTTCGATCACCTGAACCCTGGGATGCCACAGCAGTCATAAGTGTGGAAAGCAGTCATAAGTCGGCTTTTCTTTTTTAGTGCCGTTCTAACTTTTTGTACCAGGTTTGGTCCTATGGCGATGGGCATCGTCTTGACCTTTGTCCGTTGCTCTTCAGCCCCCGAATCTCTCAATCTTTTTCTTCCCTTTTTCTGCAATAAAATAGGAGGCTGGGGGGGAAAGAAAAAATCAACTTTTTTGTAAGAATAAGCTCTGATTGGGGGGAAAAGAAGAAAGGAAACCAACTTGGCATTCAGGATTCCTCATTGCTGCCAGTTGGAAAGCAAAGAGGAACAAGAGAGAGTTCGGCCTTGATTACCCAAACTTAAATTTCACTTTTGAAGGGCCCTTTTTTTTAACGCTGTCCCTATTATCCCCCCCCAACTGAGTTTTGAACCCAATTCTCTTTTCGTGAAAAGAATTATTGGAGGGAGGTGTGGGGGGTTACAGTCTTTTGTCCACCATTCTTTTCCTGAGCTGGTGCTGCAGATGTCTCACAGGACATGAGCCCCCCCATCCCATAATACCCAGTTCAAAGATTAGGCTGCGGAATCCTGGAATTCAGAGGGTCCCCCTTGAGGTCAGCTAGCCCAACCACCCATTGGCGGGGAGCCTTCACCAAGCCTGCTAGATAAATGACACTGCAGACTCTGTTCAAATGCAAGGGGGGCTCCCAGCATGCTTTAAAAGGGGAGGACTCCAAGGACTTCAACTCCCAGAATCCCCCAGCTGGCATGCTTTAAGAGGAGAGGACTCCCACTCCCATAATCCCCCAGCCAGCATGCTTTAAGAGGGGAGGACTATATCTCCCAGAGTCCCCCCAGCTTTAAGATTGATGGACTTCCACTCTCAGAATCCCCCAGCCATCATGCTTTAAGAGGGGAGGACTCCCACTCCCATAATCCCCCAGAAAGCATGCTTTAAGAGCGGAGGACTCCCACTCCCATAATCCCCCAGCCAGCAAAGTCCCTGTCCCCCTCTTATTTTAGATCTGGCCTTACAGAGCTGTGGGCAAAACTGTTGACAAACAGAATGGAAAATATTTGCGTTTGACTGATTTTGCTGCCAAATCTCTCTGGGTTTTTAACAAATGATAATCATGGAATTCAGAATTGATTGTTTTTCATTCCCCCCCAAAATAAAAAAAAATGTCATGTTTCGTTTCCGTGGCAGTGCTCTGCTGTTTTACTCTTTTTTTTAAAAAAAGGCATATTTTACCATCTCTTTTTAGTTAATTTTTTAAATGCCTAATTGCAAACTGCCTTGAAGATGTTTTGAACTGGAAACTGGAAAGTTGTGAAATCAGAAACACTTAAATTGAATTAAATTGCTCCGACTTGCCACCAAAAAAGGGGAAGTTGAGACAAACCCTGGTTTAATGAAGGTTTCCTCCGGCTATTTAGGGTGGTCGGAAGAGTGAAGGAAGGAAGGAAGGAAGGAAGGAAGGAAGGAAGGAGGGAGGGAGGGAGGGAGGGAGGGAGGGAGGGAAAGGAAGATAAGAAGGAGAAAAAGGAAGCAAGGAAGGAAGGAGGGAGAAAAAGGAAGGAAGGAGGGAAGGAAACTAATCAAGGACTAAGGACATGATAGCAGTCTTCCAATATCTCCGGGGTTGCCACAAAGAAGAGGGAGTCAAGCTATTCTCCAAGGCATCTGAGGGTAGAACAAGAAGCAATGGGTGGAAACTAATCAAGGAGAGAAGCAACTTAGAACTGAGGAGAAATTTCCTGACAGTTAGAACAATTAATCAGTGGAACTACCTGCCTCCAGAAGTTGTGAATGCCTCAACACTGGAAGTCTTTAAGAAGATGTTGGATAGCCATTTGTCTGAAATGGTATAGGGTTCCCTGCCTAGGCAGGGGGTTGGACTAGAAGACCTCCAAGGTCCCTTCCAATTCTGTTATTCTTATTCTTATTATTATTTATTTATTGGATTTATATGGATTTATTCTATCCTTTATTCCATTCCATTCTATTCTATTCTAGAGAATATTTCTTGACAGTCAGAACAATTAATAATTAAACAACATACTTCCTGCTGCTGCTCCATTGGTTGAGTTTTTCAAAATAGACCAGAAAACCATTTGACCAGGAAGCAGGGGGTCAGACTGGAGGACCTCTGAGGTCCCTTCCAGCCCTAGGATTCCAAGTCCTCCGCTCAGTGGCTTCTTAGCCGAGACCAAGCCAAGTTCCAGCCCTTTCTCAAACA